TAACAGGCTTTGGTCATTCGAACATTAAAACTTTTGCTCAAGTTCACAGGAGGCAGCAGAAATGGAGAATATTGCTGGTCAGGTCATAGCTTAGGTGGTCATAAAGTCCACCACTTATACTAGCTGCTCTCCTCCTGCTGTTATATTCCTTTCTTGAAAGGAAATTTTAAAAAGTCACCTAGCCTAAGAAATAGAAACGATGGAAAAATGGTCCCTAAGATTTTGTAAACTATGGCTAATCTGGAAAATAGTTACCTCCACTTTTGAAGAGTGCTTTCCTGCATCAATCACAAAACCCAATATATAAACACTGTGAGTTTACTTAATATCATCTCTCTGGCCTGGTTGAATAGAAAGTTGTATTCAAAAAGGATGCACTTTCACCCATACTTTCTACAACTTAAAATCGTTCCGCATCAGTCTCCTCTTTAACACCCACCTTGATATATACCTGAGGTAGGACCATTTCTCTTTCCAGCATTTATGTAAGAGGAGAATATTGTGGATGCATTTGGAAGAGGAAGAATTTGGAAATGCACATAAGAGTTGAAGTAATTCCTCAGTATTGGATGGAGAAGACTATCAGAGCTGGGAAAGGAGCCCAGATGATCCAAAGCCCAGTCTGGAGAAACCTATCAGCTTTCCACATTGGTCAGTCCCTGTTCGCTGCTTAAGACACGTGTGAGATGCTGAACGCTCTTGATGTCCATTGAACCGCCTCACAGTAGTCACTACTTCCCTGCGTGTGCTACTGCACAGTGTGCCTGTCTGGATTTGACTCTGCTATTTACCATGTCTCTGTCTTCCCTCCCCAGCTAGTAACAAATTCACAGGAGCCATGTTCTCGAGTCCTTTGATACAACAAACGTAGTGCAAAATGAGTGAAACTTTCCGGTCACATTCAATTAACCTGAGAGACATCTACTGCCATTTCATCTTGCCCACTGCCACTCCAGCAGGACATGGGTCCCCCTATGTTCCATATTATGTCTACCAGCCCCAGACAGATGTCTTGAATATCCCACAGTATTTCAAATGGCACCAAGTGCCCGAGTTCAGACAACTGAATTTCTTCCTCAGTCTCTGCAGTTTACATAGGTCTGCGTTGTATTTTCACAATTACAGTGGGAGTTGTGGTCTCTACCTCTGGTACCATACATGAGGCTCACCAGAACTCCTGAGAAGGGCTCAAAGACACTCTAGTCAGTTTTATCATTTGCAGACCTCCAGGTAAAGCTGCTCTAACTATAACAAAACGGCAGTTTCTGTCATTGCAACAGTCTTACCACTGTTTTGGGTTTCTTTTTAATGCAGCATTTCCAGCTAGGTTTATCAGAGGTTTTTCTTCCTTTCTTAGAATGTAAACTTTCTCATAAATGTCCATCTCCCATGGCACTAATTTGACAAAATGCTGCTGTAAGTTTCATTTTGTCTCCAACTGCGCAAATGACTGCTGAGGAGTAATTATGCGTTGTAGGCTGCACTCAGTGGAGCACTAAAGGCTGTAGTTTATAGTCACTTTGCCCCGTTCTGTGCTCTTGCACAAATCTCTGCTAATCTACATAAGTAATAAGTGTGCAGGCTTCCAGGAACCATGCACATTTGCCTTTTTGAGCTTGGGCTAAATGCTCACCGGTGGTGTATTTTTAGTGCCTCACATTTTACCAGAAAGGCAGCATAAAGGTTATCAAGTTCTTCCCTAAGTCAAAAAAAGTGTGTGTGAGAAAATACCACTGGTAATGTTTATTCAGAATGTAAAACATGCTATCAGAATAAGTCATATTTTTCTTGGATTCTGGCCAAAACAGAGCTGTCAACAAAAGAAAAGTGTATAGGGTTAGAAGGGAAGAAGGCTATGAAAAAAAAATTGGAGGCCCTTTTGTTTTCCTTTCCCAAATACCGTGGTGAGAAAGAGTCTTCTTAGGCATATTTATAAATCATGTGAGCTACTGGAAACTACCAGCCCTTCGCCTCACAAAACGCATATCACATTTTAAATTCCCGATGCTAAGAATTTTAAGAAGAGCCCTGGGATTAATCTATACCTTCTGGCTTGCTTTGTAGGTGAGTTTGGAGAGGAACTGAACAATAGCTCTTTTAGGAATTTGGAAGTGCAAAAGAAAAGATCTGCTTTTTCTGAAGCTCCCTGTGTAAGAGCAAATAAGAATCCTTTCATTTTCACTGCGTTGTTCTCTTTCTTTCAGAAAAATTCTGTGAATTGGATATTATTATCCCAGTTGTCTAGATAAGGAGATTGAAGCAGAGGTTGAGAGGCAAATTATGTATAGTCACTGCATAAGTGCACAGAGGAAAATGAAAGAGACCTCTGCTGACTGTTGTGCCCATCAAGGAGAAGATAATTTTGCTATAAGAGTCATTGAAAGATTCCCATTGATTGGCACAAGAAAAGAGCTGGTCAGTGCAATGGAGCCACGCTGCATGTTTGGAGCCCAGGAATCCCTGTTCCAGTCCCAAATACGTTTTCCTAGATAAATTGCCTATAAAATTCTCAAGCCAATAGTTTCCATTATTTCCTGGAGAAAGCCCAGCACGGACAACCTTAGTAATACGGATTTTGGCTGTATTGTAGAACAGTCAGGCAATAGAAAGATACAATCAGGTGCCAAAAAGATGGTGAGCTGGCATGGCCTTTGTGAAATGAGGGCTCATTTTCTGATAGATACAGGTTTACACATTTTTCTTCCAAGGTTTTGGAAACAACTTCTTCACAGTAGCTTAGAGAAAGAGTCTCAATTTGCATCAGTAATTTGCTTCCAGCTGTGGACAACTATCCCGCAAGATCAGCTTTGTAAAAAAGAAAGCAATATTTGCCTTCCATGCTGGATAGACCTGTTGCTTAGCTGGTGCACAGTTTTAATGGTGCTCCTATCAAAAATGCTTTCTCTGAGTTTGCAAATAAATTGTTTTAAAATGCACTCAGAGGAGAGCGAGTATTTTTTATTAACTTTAGAAAACTTTCCACTGCAAAACAATATGAAATTCAGTCAGTTCATTCTTTCTGCCACCTTCAAGTTGAGAGTTTTGTTTGCCAGACTTCTGTTCAAATCCGAATGCTGCAGTAAGCTTAAATCTTTGTGTCAGATTGCTCAGATCAGCAATCTCATTGGTTTGTGTGTGTGTGTGTGTGCGTGTTTCAGGGTACAGTAGGACTGCAGTCTTATAGTGCCAGTTGCCTCCGCTGGAGGCTGTGACTGATTTGTGCCACCTTTCTCTTAATCCATCAGGGGGAAAACTCAGTTTACCATGAGTCTTGCAGTGTGGGTGCTGGCCCTGAGCATCATCAGTTCACGTTGGCTTCTGGGGATGTTCAGGGCCTGTCAAAGCTCCGGTCAATGGCAAATGCCGGAAGAAATTGTATTCCAGTCACAGAGCACTGTGTCTCTTCTTCTGTATTCAACCAACCAGTACAGATTTCTGTCTTAGATTCCAGTTTAGGAAACCACCTAGGCACTTATGTAGCCTTGCCATCTTGAATTCATCCCATCTGTATGTTCAGATACACAAGGATGTGTATGTGAAAAAAGTTTCGGAAGGCTTCCTTGCAGGTGTGTTTTGCTGTTTTCATTGATCCCACATACACGAACTAAGCTTTGTAAGTGCAAGGCAGTTTAGATGTGAGTAGAAGAATCGGGCTCCAGGACTACTACAAAAGACATAAAGAAAGGAGAGGTGAATGTTAAATAAATAAATAAATAAATAAATCAATAATAAAGTAAAATAAAATAGAATACCTGATGTTTCAACATGTGCTTTCAGTTGCTCCTGGTATAAGCAAGGGAAAATCAAACAATAAAATAGCAAAAAAGGAAGCTACATTGTTAGACATAATTTAAATCAATGTCAGGAAACATCCCTGAATTTTTATTCAGATTATTATCTTAAAGGGCAGCAGAAAAATGGCATTTTTCAGGTAGTGTTTGGTAAAGTACCAAAAAAAAAAGTCATCTGTTTCTGTATCTGTGCTATTAAAGGTTTGATCTTGAAAAGGGCAAATCTGCTTCACCTGACCACAGTTAGTTTAAGTGTGGCTAGAATGGAAAATGATTTTTTCAATAGGCTAATCACAAGGGCAAAACTTAGATACAGTGTCACAGACGACAATGTCTTAAATTCAGGTAAGGGACAGGTAGCTGGAAAAAATAAATTGCCCAATGTGAAATCCTAGCTTCAGTGATGTAGATAGAAAGGTTCTGCTGGTCAAGATTTTTCTTCCTAAGAAACAGAAGGTCTGTTGTGTAACAGGTTGCCATGTGTATTTTTTTTAACTTTAGTTATTTTTTGTTAGGATTTTTCTTAGTTTCATCTTCTTTTTCTTTTTTTCTTTTAATAAGCCACGAGAACACATGGCACTCATTCTGATTTCAGACTTGGTTTAGATCATTGTACAACGTCATCAAAAACCATGGAGTTATTTTCTGGCAAAATCAGGTCCCTTGATATGTTTCGTTAGAAACAGCTCTCAAGGGATTAGTTCTCGTTCCTCCTCCCCTCCCTCCCCTCAGGATGCTGAGTGATTGTCTAACAGTACTTAGCTGTATTTATTTTTCATTGCCGTGCAATTTTTATTTAATCAAGGTGCAGATATATTGGCACAGTGGGTGCACAGGATGGCTAGTGGTCTGCTTTAAAATTGTACGGGTATGCAAAACCTTTGCCTTGGCATATGCTGCTTTTCTGCAGCCAGCTGAAATGCGTACTTCACAGTGAAGCCAGACCATTTCTTTGCGACAGGCTTTATTAATCCTAATCCTTTGATCGCCAGCACGCTGAGTATCCTCAGGCACTGCAGAGGTCCTTCCTAGATGTGGATGTGTCAGCGTGGTGGTGTGTATCTCTAAGGCTGCGTATTTTTCATACTTTGGGGAAAGAGTTTCAGAACCCCAGTGGAACCAAAGGGGCTGAAATAAGAGTGTATTTCAGAGCAACAGTGCCAAGCAAAAAAAGGGGGAGACCCAACCTTTTTCTCCTCTTTCATTTAGCAGAAGAGATGAAGAAGTGGCTTCGGCTTTCATTCATGAGAATGAGGATATATTCATTGCTGCACAACTCCAGCAGACTTTGGCTGGACTGGATGAAGATTTAGAAGGTAGGGAAGTGTGTTACCTCTGAACTACAAAAGAGAGAGGCATAGCCAGGAGATGCAGGGTCAAACTGTACTCTGAGGCATCTGCACATTTCTCACTAAGATCACTGGGAACAACTCACAGGTCTAAGGCAGAATGTGGTCAACCCAAAGTGGCTGCTCTCCCTTTGCTTCTGGGGCAGCTCTTTACAGACTGGCACTGAATAGTTTTCAAGCTGCTTGTCAGATTGTCATTGTATTTCGGTGTCTGCTACCAAAAAGAGATGAACAGCAGTTTATGGACACCTTTTATGGGCCAAATTTGGTATAATTTCATTGACTTCAGTGAAGCTAAATCAGTTGTGAATTTAGCTCTGTTTAATGAACAATGCCTCTGTTTTGTATTTTATCCTAATGAGGTGGAGAAGGGGGGGACATTTTTGTACCCAATGCCTCCTCTGCATTAGCAGACATATTTTAAAGTTAAAAATAAAAAAACATGAAAAGAAACAGTGGGAAGAGATAGAATGTCATATTGTGCTCCTCTTTTTCCTACTGTGAATAAAAATATTTCTCTATTAATGGTTTGTCACCAAATGATGTTGAATACTTTTTTAAAACTTCCCATCTTTATTTCAGTACTTCTGCAGTGGACTTGATTCTGATTTAATTTCTGTGAGTTCTCTAACACTGCAATTTCTTAGCTTCTGTGTTGTAACTCTTGACTTATACCAGCAACTTTGAGAGGAGAGTTAAGCTTCTTGCACAATGAGGCTTCTGGAGTCACTGGTAATGAAGGGTGAGAAGAATGGAGAAAAAATATAAGTACTGTTTGTTTGCTTGCTCAAGGAAATCCTTCAGCTGAGCTGTTATTAGTAACCAGGTCTGGGAAACATAATTTGGAGTTGCTTGCTGTTTCTCAGAAATGTTTCTCCTTTGGAGTCATGTGGTGAAATGTTTATCACTGAGAGAAGTTAGTCAAAGATAAGGTATGAACAATAGATTAAATTCTGCTTTCAGCTGCATTTGTATGTTTCCCACTGGCTGAAGCAGGAGGACTGCAGGAATATTTGGCTGATCCTAATCAGCAACCAGACAATAAAAAGGACCCAGATCTCTCCTTTTTTTGTAATACAGTCATAAATATATTCCCGTTAGTTTTAGCGTAGCTAAAATATCTGATCTGCTTAAGCTTGTACTGGCTGTTTGTGTAATTTGAAATCATATTGCCTAAATACTGCCTATATGTAATGTTGTATGTGTATTTTGCAGCAGTGGATGGTATAAGTAACTCTGACTCCGAGTACATCAATGAAGTGTTGAGCCCACATATAAGAAAAGTTGAGGCTGCCCAAGATGTTACCATTTCTGTTCCAGTAACAGTCATAGATGATGCTCTAGAAGTTAGCACCTCTAACTCAGCTGGAAATCAAGAGACAGAGGCAAGGGTTTCACAAAATACCTCAACTGACTCTGTTAATACAGGAAACTTTACAAATAAAAACAACAATGCAGGTTCCTTTGATAAGGGACACATGGATGGTGGAGCTGTATGCATATCCAAGGACCTAATACATCAGCAACCATCTGAAAATGAGTTCAGTCACTTGCCTGTGGAACAGAGGAGAGATATGTTTGAATCTCTCACATCTTCCTTTGAAAAAAGAAGTGAAAAGAACTTAAGACTGGAACCGCCTCCCAAACATGGTGTGAAGTCTGAGGAATGTAAATCTAAGCTGACTCCATCTCACTCCAAGGCCACAGCTGAAATCAGTACAGCAAAAGAAAAGATAAATCCATTTAATGAATGTAGTAACAGGGAAAGATCTCTGAAAAAAAGTAAGTCAGAATTAGAAATCAAATGGCCACCAGCAAAAAAAATTGAAGTAGAAGAAGTCCCATCAACACCCACATGGTGTCATCGTGCCCAGAATTCAGGAACAAACTACGAACCTAAAATGGGTTTGACAACCTTTAAAGTTGTCCCTCCGAAACCTGAAGTAAAACATTTCAATAGAGGAGTTTCACTCTCCACTGGTGCCATTAAGATAGATGAACTAGGCAACCTTATAGGCCCAAACACTGGTGTCAGTAAGCACATACCAGGTACCTCTACTGATGAAAGCGAGGAAATTTGTCTTGGGAAAGTGAAGGCATTCTGGAGGTCAAGTTCTATGGAAAAGCAAAGTGATGACTCTGCTGAGCATCTTCCTAAAAAGTCAGCAGTCACCACAAATTCTAAGCCCTTTACTATAAAACATGAACACAGACCTGTCTGTCTTGCAGCTCCAAAACCTGTAGCACCACAAACTGTTACTACCCAGGTAGCTGAAAGACAGTCTGAGAATGAAAGGACCAAACCACCTCTTCCAGTTACACAGTCTCAGGTAACACCATTAGTGGCCCCAACCATTAATAAGGACAAGCTGGAGCTTCCATTTCTAAAGCCACATAGGAGAACTTCAAGTCAGTATGTTGCCTCTGCCATTGCAAGACACATCAACGTAACTACCTTTAAGTCTGACGCTATGGAATATCATGAGAAAGATGAAAATAAGCAAGGGGCAGGAGAGGTTAAAACTGAAGCAGAAGTTTCACCAAAAAGATGTATTATTGTGGCCAAATACGGCCCTGTGGAAACAGAATCAGCAGAAACAAGAGAAACACTTTCAAGTATTTTTACTTGCAGTCAAAAAGCATCCCACAGGTTTACACCTGGTGATAATTCTGGCATGGAAAACAAAGTAGTTAACAACAGGGCACCAAATCAAGCAACTCCTGCAAGTTTCTATAAAAAGAATGCCAGTGTCCCACTTCCTAAATCCCCTTCAAAGGATAACAACAGTGCAGAAGATGATCATGGTTTAAACAGCAAACAAAGTATAGCAGAGAAAAAGACGCGTCTTTTGTTTGACCAGAAATGTGAGACTTTGACCCATACTAATTCAGCCTCATCTCTCAAGTCTCCTGATCTCCAAGGAGTCCCATCCTCTTTCAGCCCATCTTTGCGAGTCACTAAATGGCCTCCTGCTAACAGCGTACAGTTTAGTTCACTTAAAGCTTCAGCCGTGCTAAATGGTGCAGCAGCAAACGCAGAGTCAGAACAGGAGGAGAAACCTGATGATTCAGATATTAATGCTATCAGTGAACTGGATGTTAATGTGCAGACCAATATCTTTGGACCAAAGAAGAAGTTCAAACCTGTTGTCCAAAAACCAGTTCCAAAAGACACATCACTGCACAGTGCCCTAATGGAAGCCATTCAAACAGGAGGGGGAAAGGAGAAACTCAGAAAGGTAAAGTGGAGACTTTTTTTAGCCTGTTCAGACTGCAGAGCCCTGTATTCACCCTGTCAGACACCAGAGGTTTTATAACCGGTACAGTTGCTGGTGAGCTGGAGTACACGAGGCATTTGAAAAATTTATAATGGCAAAATACAGACCAAGCCACTGCTTATTCTGCACATCCTGGATATTATGCAACACCATTGCTGCTGCACTAGCTAGAAGAGGCAGAGGGTGCAGAGATACAGCATAAAGGAGAGGTAATTGAGGTTAGCCTAAGAGCCGAACCCGCATTTCAGTGTGTTATATAAAAACAGGAACACACAGCATGGAGACTGCATTTTGTATTACTAGGTGATACTAGTTTGCCACTGACTTCATGCTCAGGGGATATGAGACTGCATCTGTAAGTACAGCATTACTATCTACACGTATCCTCACCATTCAGTGTGAGTAAGGGTTGTAAAAGCAGACCTGAAAGAAGACAGACTGATTAGTCTCCATAGCTTGCATTCTGGTACAAGTGCCAAAAATATTTTTAATAGTGTTTCCAAACTATCTCTAAGTAAATATCTAATAACAGTGTGAGGTTTATTCTTTTCATATTCTAGGTTTCAGACAGTGCACTAAATGGCAATCACAGGAAACCCTCATGTGCTGAGCCAGAGAATGAGCGCTCAGCCCTACTAGCAGCGATTAGAGGCCACAGTGGCACCTCAAAGCTGAAAAAGGTAAGAAATCAAGATGGTAAGTTATCTTTTAAGTGCAGTCTGTTACTACTGGATGTTTCAAATAAACCCAGATATGCCACAAACTAAACGTTGTGCTGCAAAGAGAGAAGTTGAGGGGGAATAATATGACATAAGACCAGACCTGACTTCAGCAGACAGCATAGTGGGTCCGATCCTATCCTCTGCTATAAAACTTAATGTTCTTTTAAATGGTGTGCTTTTAGCTGAGAAAGAAACATGTAGAAATCCAAATTACAGGGAGTGTACATAGAAGACATCAAATGTTCGTCATTTTCACATTTAGGTGGGGTTTTTTTGTACTTCAGGAGTATGCAGTTAGATTAATATATTTGCATTACTTACCATACGCATCCAGTCCTAGTTACCTAAAAACACACTAGGGCTTCTTCATGCATTCTGTTTATCTGTTAACATGAGCTGGTGCATGCAAGTTGTATGCAAGTAATTGATATTGATGGAACATCAACATTCACCACAGCAGGATGATTCCTTCTGTCCAAAAGATTTACCTAATCATTAAAGCATCTCTTGCTCCTAATAGCCAAAACCTGCATTGTTCTAGCCTTAGTTTTCACTCAGTTCACTAATCCAGCCAAGGATGTATATTTGGCAAGGAGGTTCCCATTTCCCTTGTGCAATGACTCAGGCCATTAGCACATATCCAGATAGCTGGCATTAGATAGAAAGAATCTCTTGCCCGTGTTAGGCAATTACTTCATCCCTCAAAAATTTTACTGCCCTTGCTGCAGGTAGGGTACAGCTTCCTCCAAGCCTGAGAGCAGGAGGTGGTAGGCAGCAGCCATCTTCACACATACTTAACTGCATTCTGCATTCATTGGGAATAAATGTCAATTTGTGTAAAAGAGGCTCTGACAATGAAGTGGTGGTGGTGGTGTATTAGCACAGAGACTTTTTGGAACACTTTCCTCCAGCAGAGAAGCTTTTGCCATCATTTTAAAGGAAGTTGCCTAGAAACCATACGCTTCTTTTTCACACCATGTCACCTGTGCTAGTTAAAGCACCATGTTTGTATGTGTACAGGGCGAGATACAGATGTGCTATGATGAAAAGGCTGTCCCTTTCATGTTATCACAATTGTTCATTTTTTATCTGACATGACATTATTCCCATATATTGTGTGTGTGTGTACAGTGAAGGAATAGAATATAGGAACTCTCTGAATGTGGATTATTTGATGGGAAATGAATCCATTCATTTTTCACTAGAGAAGTTTTGTGCCTCAGTTTCTCTGAGAAAGGAATGTTAATGTAGCTGCTTGAAAACCTCCCATTTGGTACATGAGTGGACATGGTGGTGTTGGGTTGACGGTTGGACTTGATGATCTTAGAGGTCTTTTCCAACCTCGATGATTCTATGATTCTATGATTCTATGATTCTATGATTCTATGATTCTATGATTCTATGATTCTATGATTCTATGATTCTATGATTCTATGATTCTATGATTCTATGATTCTATGATTCTATGATTCTATGATTCTATGATTCTATGATTCTATGATTCTATGATTCTATGATTCTATGATTCTATGATTCTATGATTCTATGATTCTATGATTCTATGATTCTATGATTCTATGATTCTATGATTCTATGATTCTATGATTCTATGATTCTATGATTCTATGATACTGAATTTCCTAATAATTGCCAAATCATTGTAATTGCTAACAATTTATCATTATTATTACTAGTAATGTTGTTAATGGCAAAAATATTTGTTGAGACAGTTGACGGAAAAGCTGGCTTAGTCTGAGAGATTGCCTCCTCCCCCTGCATTCGTTTAAAGTAGGATGAGTTTCCAAGCTGGTAATTCATGCAGAAATTTTAGTTTCAGAAATTCCACAGAAACATACTTGGAAGAGCAATCAATTGATTTTGTTCTCAGTGCTTTCACGTAGTTCTCTCTAGTCCTATTTTATTTTTTTTTTTTAGTATGGCTGGAAACTTTAGGTTTAACAGCATTTTTTTCAACGAAGCCATGTCTGAAAGCTCAGATCTAGAAGAGCCTCCCTGTCATCTGAGATTATTTCTGTGCAGCCCAGACTACAAAAAGTAATGAGATTCCTGGGCGGCTACTGCAGCCTTAATATATCTTCCTGATTCCAAAACCCTTGTGGTTGTTTCCAAATGAATACCAAGTCCAACTCTCTCTCTTACCTTACATTCCAAGAAGAGTTACAGGATGCTGGAGCTCACAGTAAATAAAGATTGAGTTTCTGAAACAGAGTCAATGCCAAATCCTTGATGCTGGTAGTCAGCCCAGCTGAGTGATGTGAGTGAGTAGTAACAGATGTTCAACCCCATGAGCAAACAAAAGTTCTATGTGTTTTACATCATTCAAGCAAAGTGAAATCGGGGTACTGAAAGTGCATCAGATGTCACATAATTACAGTTTAGTCATGCTTGATATTAATTACCTCCTTTGAACTGCATCATGAGCAGATCTCCTCGTTGGCCTCCAAAGAGCTGCAGAGTTTTAGGAATGCAGAACTGTCCTTGCAGAAGGCAGAAGACCCTCAGGAAGAGCAGCTTTGTATCCCACCTGCCCCTGCCCAGCCGCCACCACCACCTCCCACTCAGCTGTCAGCAGCAGCAGCAGCTCCTAAATTCCCTGCCACGGCTACAGGTAACCCTGGGGAGGCAAGGCAAGCCCTAATGGAGGCCATTCGCTCTGGTGCTGGAGCAGCAAAGTTAAAAAAGGTAAACGTACTTTTATATTTTATTGTGGCTGAAACAACCTAGGCTTGCTGTGCTTTGAGAGCCATTTATAAGCTGTTCTGGCCACACATTTCTTTCTTCCATCAGAAGGTACATGCACTGTTTCCTCTAACTGAATCAAAGATCAGGAGTGTATTTCAAACCTTTGAACAGCTATTAAAACATACTACTAAGACTAAAACATGCCTGTGCATGTATGAAACCATATGAATAGTCAATACTTCTTTTTTAAAGAGAACATCAAGACTATGAATATCATTTCAGAAAGTATTTTCATGCCCTTTTCATTCTTGTGAATCGGAGATAATACTGGATGTCCTTTAGATAAGGTGAACCTAAGAAAGATCAGATATGAGACCCTGAAGCAAATTTAGAGCTAAGTATTCTCTCCTAATTCCAGTAGTGTGTCCTAGACCTTGATTCCCAACACTTACACCTTGGTCGCACGTGCTGAGAGCTGTCAGTAAAACTGTGGGGTCGTTTTAATGTCTGTCTGAACTTTATTAATTGGATGATGTGTGTTTCACCCCTGTGGTCAGCTATGGGTCAGTAAACTCCCAGATGGATAAATGCTCAGTTGCCCAGGTGTGATTTTTGGACTTAAGTTCACTTATCTCTTTGATCAAAATTTATTCTTCCTAACCTCAAGTTACACTGCATTTCTTGGTAAAGAGAAGCAGATCAATTTGCCTTAGTGGAGTCATCCCAATATTACACTGCAGTATCCAAGAATAGACTTTGATCCAAGGACTTTAGGGAATGTACAAAAGCAGATGTAGTTTTCCCAACACATGATTTAGCTGATGCCAACCATAAATGTGTAAATAGGCTTTAACCTTGCTTACTTGTCCTCTTTAAAATAATTAAAAAAATATGGTCAAATTTTAACATTAAAAAGTAGCCAAAAAAATCTTGTTTCTGATAAACCAGAAATTCCACAGAATCATACAAATGGCACAAACAAATCAGTGTTTCAGGGAACTTTACATCAGCATGCAAATACAAATCTGGATGTGCAGTTATTTTGCATGTGAAAAATTACATCTATATTATGCATACTATTACGAGGAGTGGCTGAGGTCACTTGGCTTGTTCAGCTTGGAGAAAAGAAGGCTGCAGGGTGACCTCATCGCAGTCTACACCTTCCTCAAGGGGGGCAGCAGAGGGGGAGGTGCTGATCTCCTCTCTCTGGTGCCCAGCGACAGGACATGAGGAAATGGAATGAAGCTGCGTCAGGGGAAGTTCAGATGGGACATTAGGAAAAGGTTCTTCACTGAGAGGGTGGTCACTCACTGGAACAGGCTCCTCAGGGAAGTGCTCACGGCACCAAGCCTGTCAGAGTTCAAGGAGTGTCTGGATGACACTCTTAGTCATATGGTTTAGTTTTAGGTAATCCTGTGAGGCGTGGGGAGTTGGACTCAATGATCCTTATGGGTCCCTTCCAATTCAAGATACTCTGATTCTAAGACTACAAATTATGAAGATATAATACTCCAGATCAGGTCTTTATTTCCCCACTTCACCAATTTACAGAAAAAAGGGGATTTGGACATTCAAGAATACTTCATGCAGTTGTTTTCTAGATCTTTCCAAATTCTCTGTTCTTCCAACTACATTACTCTTGAAGAAGTCTCTGAGGGGACTCATAGCTCTACTCATTAAAACAAGTCTTTATCATATCCTTGGGGATTTAGTTTAAAACAGTTAGATAGCCAGTGCAGACCATGAAAGTAAGCTTGATATACTGATGTATTTTGCGATATACTGACGTATTCTGCTAAATACTGTGCCTGTCTTCTTTCATTTTCAAGACAGAGTAATTTTTGGTAGTTTTGACATTGAAATGACAGAAGAGTACATCTCTTATTGTATAGGTCTTTTATGAAAACAAAAGACAGCAGCATTTTGTCCAAGATAGAGTATGATTTTGTTATTATTGTGCTGTCCTTCATGATACTGGATATGCAAGCTAAGTCTCGTATATGCCAAAGACATCATATCACTGACATCTGAGATCTCATGCCCTTGATCACTGATAAAAGTAAAAATATTGCCAGATTTCTCAAAGAGTTTCTATCCAGTGCATATTAGTATCTCTCCTAGCTTGCTGCGTTAAATGAGAGCCAAATTCTGATCCTTCCCTGCAGTTGGACAACTTGTGACAGCAAAAGTTGAATCGGTAGAGGAGAATATATGATAGCTGTGTGTCAGGGTTTTCTTCCTTTACAGCTGAAGAACACGTCTCCAAGGAACACTGAGTTTTTGGTAGACAGTGGCTGGCAGGTGGTTTTGTGTCAGGGCAGAAACAAGCTTTTTTCTTTGTTTTGCCTCCCCTGTCAAAGATCTATGATGTCATGATTTGGAGGTGTGAGCACAGAGCCATTTTGGGCTTTGCTTTCTTGAAGGTTTTGGTTGCAACTAGACAGCAAAGTAGGTAGTTCAGTTCTGTAATTGTGTCTGTTTCTCTTCCATTGTCTTCTCGAAGTTTGCTGGAACAAGGGCTTCTGATGGTGAAGTCATTTATTTAGCTAATATTGTGGGGAACTGGGAAGAATCTACATTGCTTAGTTATGTATGACTCAGTTTGTGCTTATTTATGAGGGGTTATTTGCAATGGAAGTAGATCAAACGGGGCTGTCAGGGGAACCAAACATAAAAAGCAACCAATTGCCTAGATAAGGAGCATCCCAAGAAACGTTTGAGCTCTGTTAATATCTGTGAAAAGGCAACTCCTCCACTCCACCCCTGATTACACAGCTGTTTGCTAAAGTCATGAACTTTAAGGTTAAAAGATCCACTATGCAGGAAAGGAGGAGAGAAATTGCTGCAGGCTGACCCTGCCTTGCTGAGAGTCAGGGTCTGCACCACACAGGCTGTAATTGGGTCACCCAAAACAAATCAGAGCAAAAATAGGTACTTGAGGGAAATGCCAAGTGTAGGTAAGACAGTATGCGCAGAGGTCTTCTGGCTGTTCTTTAATCCATTTCTTGGAGAACTGTGCCTGCTTTGGCAGATAAATCATACTTTGTTTTGGAAAAATGGCTTCTGTTTTATTGTACACTGTTGCTGTCCACAGACTCCCAAAGGAAAATTCTTGTTGATGCCAAGCCCAGTTGGGCCTGCACAGTAAAATGGTTCATCCCCAGTGCAGTGCAGTTCAGAGACTTGCCAGAAAGTGGTTAGACTACAGATCCTACCCAAAGGGAACGGAGATGCAGATGTGTTATTGGAAAGGGATGAGCTTACCAAACTGGAAAAGACCTGACAATGTACAAGAAGTAACCTTTTTCTTCAGTTTTCAAAATGGTCTGTCCAGGAACCTGGCAGGTGTTTAACACGTCCAAAGTATAACAGCAAGTCAGGGAGATGGCGTCAAGTAAGGCCACCAACCAGGATGGCTGACCTAGTGCCTTTGGCAGTTAATTGTCTTGAGAAACGAACGTGTCTCACTAGCGAGGAGCCTGCTTCCAGCCGTGCGGTCTGCCTCCTGTACGAAGGAGAATCAGCTGGTCTGGGAAATAAACAGCTGATCTGAGACCAAATTTTGGCCAATTCTGGTGAGCAAAACTCAGGTCATAGAGCTGTACCGTTTGAGCTTCTGGTGTTAAAAGTGAACTAGTGTTTTCCTTAAATTGTATCAAGCAACTTTTGCCACAATTTCACATACTTAAGATCTTTATATTAATTTTTTAAACTTTCTATTTCTATCTCAGAAAAAGCAAAATAACCTAGCTGAATTTCTGAAATTATGTATATCATTGCATGTGTATTTTTGTATCTGTGCAACTTGCCTTGGGATTTACCATGATTATCTGTGGAAAAAACATAACTACGCATGCAAATAACCCGTTAGATGTCTAGCTGTAGGTATAGTTGCAGCACAAGCCCATGCAGGATTGAAAATCTTACCCAACAAAGAGAAGCTATAAAAGTTGCCTTAGCTTATATGCCATCTACTCAGTTTAGGTAGAGTTGTACCCAGGGGTTTGGTAGAAATACTGCAGTGGAATATGCCTGCACAAGGTGGGGAGGGCAAGTTGTACATCTGAAGAACAGGCTTTTGCTCATGGTAGAATGATTGCTGTAGACCACTTTTTTAATGGTGCATGCAAGAGAGATTGTACAGATTTCACATGTTTTCCAATAAAGATTGGAGCTGCATCTAAGCAGCCTTTTCTGTTTGCTCGCTGCGATTTTTAAAATTAATTTGGCTCCATCACAGTATCCACAAGCGTTCATGCCATTATTCAGCATCGGCATTTAGTCACATAAACTCTTGATACGTGCAGTGTATCATTCTGTTGGCAATCAAAGGAGCCAGGTAAGGTAATTACTGCACCCATTACAATGAGTCCCTGGTATATGCTGGGATAATTTGAAGTCGGTTGCCAACAAGTAATGCATTGATCTGAATTATGGCACGTTGAGTGTCTTCTAGGAAGCATGGCCTAGTTCCATACCTTTATGTCAAGCAGTGGACTATTCTTCTCACATAATCAGAGAGAGATAATTGTGAATGAAGAAATACTGTTTCTATCATCAGTGTCTGTGGGTGCGATGACAGAGATTACAGACTCAAAGCCACAGTTGATGTTGGCATTGGTATGCTGGAAATGGGGCAGGAGGCCCCACTAAAAAGTTGGCTGAGCTTGATATACAGGTAGTCAAATGAGCCTATAAAGTGATTCTGGTTCCCATGCACAGTGAAAGGCAGTTGTTTGCATGCTATTACTCTATTTGAATTGAAAGATAAAATTTAATTTGAACTCTTCACCTCGCTAATAATTTGTACTGTGACCTATTTTTTCCCCCAAGAATAAAGCTTCTACTGTGGATACTAAAGCCAAAATGGAAGGTTTAGACTTGATCAAATACTTTATTCCTGTTTAGCTTTTGTGGTGACCTTAATGTATATCTCTGATAGAATCAAAGCTCAGTAACTGTGATTTTGGAAAAGCACCCTAGCATACATATTTAAAATTAAGCATATGCTTAGATGACCTGAGGACTAGGAAGGAAATTTGTTTAAGTATTTTCCTGAATCAAAGCCTTTGGGAGTTTTCCTTCCTTCAATCAGGAAGCAAAGTACTCATCAATTGATTTTTATGACCAGCAACAGCTAACCGATACTGAAGAGATTTTGACTGTCAGATATTGCGTACTTGCAGCCTGGGTTTCTGTTCACTCCAAAAAATGAAGGAAGTTCACAGAAAAATACATCACCTATGTTCCAGTAATCATGTAATTGCAACCGTTAATACCTAAGGATGTGGGGGTTTTAGGGAAGGATAACACCTTTCATTAGACCAACTGATGCAGCTAGAAAAAAGCAGATAAGCTTTAAGTAGTCTCAAGGAGCTGATGAAGAGACTAAGCTTGAAAACAGCCCACAGGAGAATGTTTGGTTAACAACGTCAACAGTTGGAGGTTTAAAAATATCTTGAATGGTCATGTGCTTTTCTTTGTTACAGGTCCCTCTGCTCGTTTGAATCCTGTATAAAGAACAGGTAATTGGAAAATCTAACCCCATATGCACCCGTAATCATCATTCAAGGTCTGAAGTGGCAAAAAATGTCAAGAAGTTTAGTTTATCCTCTTGTCTACAAGCCAAAATAAGTTGTAGTTAATTTTCTGTGTGTTCCTGCATAATGGTTCTAAGGGGAAAATACATTGCTCTGCTGTAAAGCTTCTGTGCCAAGGAATTGTGTTTTGCCTCTGAAAATTTAAGGTTGCCAATAAACTATTCTTGTTGGCAGGTTAATAAGAATATAAACACTGTGCAGTCCTGTGTTAATAGTTATTTGTGTTTATGGGCAAAATTAAAAGACTTTGTTAGCTATCTGAAAAGTAATACTCATTTCAAGTTGTTAAAAATATGTAACTATCTCAAACTATTTACTTGCTTCTTACTTGATTTGGAAAAGGACTGTAAGCGATTACGGTGAAAACCAGAATAAAGATCTATAAAAAACAATCACAAGAAAAAAGTTATGGTACATTATGAAGGACCAAAATTGTCATATGCTGGAGTCATTGTTTTTTAAAATTAGATGAACTTTGTATCTCTGGTGGAGCTCTGAGAAAGCAGGCAATCAATAATGAATGTGAGACAGTGGCTGTTGAAAAGTTACTTATGGGATATGATGTATAGAATGCTAATACGCAGAGATATACTGAACCCTAGTAACATTCATGGCACTTTAAAAATATTGAGACACCTTAAAGGATCTCTATTTGCAACAGACTGTGAAGGTTATAAATAAGGTTCAGAGTACTGCACAGAGGTCCAAGATCTAGAATTCGTTCCTGCACTGCAAAATGAAGTGAAGCTGGTTTATATCAGTAACCAGGACTTTTGTCGTCTCTTGTTCAGGTCATGCATAAGTTGGCCCTTTGTTTCCAATTCATATGGCTGTTGTATGTTGTCTCATGAGTATTTATAGCAGCATCTTTTTCAAATGTTAACTACTTTGGTAGTTGTTGTTGTTGTACATATTTTGAAAATATTTTGTTAAATTGATAAAAAGGATAAATGAAAATGCTTTTTCACATTTCCTATATTGTAATGAAACTGAAGAAGAGGAAGTTTGTACATTTACATTTTTATAATCACAGACCGGAGTGGTGGCAGATTCTTTTTTTTTGGAGCTGAAATTTAAAATGTATAGCTATGTAATGTTGAAAGCACGAGAATATTTAGCCATCTGCATTTAATGTGACTATATATTATATATTGTAAAATACTGATGTCTGTTAGTGCCACAAATAAAAACAAAATCAAAACCTGACATAGCTTGAAAGACTTTTTTTGCCAAATGTTTTCCATTTACAGAAAGAAATTAGAACTAGAGATGGACTTAAGCAAACCAGTATGCTGTGTTTGATGTCTCAGGTCTAATGCAAAATGTCTCAAGCCAGGAAGGGGCTCACAACTAATAATCTGGGAACACGGTAGAAATCACCAACTAGAATCAAGATGTCAGAGTTATATACATTTCGGTAATAATGCAGTACTGATAATGATCCAGTTCCTCATTAGGGAAGCTAATATATTCAGAATTAAGGTGCTCCGTCACACCCTAGGATAAATAAGATCACCTTTGTTGACTGGTTAGCCGCCTTTTGCCTTAAGAGTCTTCTCAGTATGCTGTAGATCAGGAATATTAACATGTTAAAAATGCTATCGCGGGAAAGGATTCGGTCACTCAGAAGCTTGAATGCTGTAGATAGTCCCACCAGCAGCGAATACCGCTTCCGTGGTTAGGTGCTGTAAGACAGAATTCAGTGCAGGTCTCCTTCTTCTTGTTCTTAGTGTTGCCTGAAGGCCCTGGGTCTGTAGCCCCTCCTTGCTAACGCCCCTTTAGTGTAATAATTTGTACAGGCACATACTTTTCAATGTAAGGGATCCAGAACTGGATTTTGAGATAGTAAGACCCTCCAGGCTTTGCGAGGCAAAGGGTCTGGGTGCTGGCACTGCATAGAACTAAAGTTTATAAAAGAGTTATTCATGGATAAACTTCTGAGTATTGGATTCCCATGGGTAAAAAACTGTAAGATTAAGAACAGCTGCAAGATGAGATGTCACCTTCACTGTGACAGCAAAAAAATTACGAAAAATCCTGCTGGCTCAGTCACAGAGCAAGCTAAAAATGGAGGGGGAGTTCAGCTGTCTACAGCAGGAAGCTAGACTGGGTGTGCATTCCCTTCTCATGTTGATGGGAGATGTGAACGCTCTTACATTGTCATCCAGGTGCTGTTGAATTCCCGGTAGCAGCTTAATTTAACCCTAAATGAACAGAACTTTTAATATAAACCTACTTTCAATGAAGTCTAGTTATAGGTATCACCCTTCCATATAATAATGTTGTATTAATGCTTTTAGCAGTCTTCATTTGGGGTGCAAACACGCGTCGGTGTTTTAGTGCATATCAGGCAAGTGCTTTTGGAGCTCTTCACCCCATCATCCCCTCTTCTACCCTGCTTCAGGACTAGGGAACTGGGTTCCTACTGGATGAAGCGAATTCAGGAGATGCGCTCCAGCACAAATTGGCATTCAGTCCATGGAACCAGACTGGAGCCCGTCCTAAGTTAAAAGAAAAACCCTGAAATGTGTCTGGTAAAGACACCGTGGTCCTCAGCACCAAGTATTTTGATCTTTGTATCTGCTCTTACTCTTACTGGTCCACGCTGTCTCCTAGTGCAGACACAGCCTGTGCCTAGAGGTATACATGCCACCAAGGTTAATCCCTGGCATGTCCTTTCATGTAGCTGGACAACCTGCAGGCTGGTTTCTTTTTTGAAGGACTGAAAGAAGGACAGTGAGCTCCCCTTTTCCCCCGTGTAGCTCTCAGCCTAGATTTTCCCCACATAGTCTTACCTCAGTTCAGCCAGAGGAAGGAGTCTGATACATGCCCGATTCATCTGGTCCTTTATATTGTCTTTTTGAGTAAGATATTAAAATGAGGTGAAAAATGGTATCACCAGGGAAATTGAATGGAGAATTTGGATTTGGTATCTTCATTCCTTGTACAGGTATAAATTAATGTTCAGGGCTTAGAGAAATCTAGTCTCATGTCTCAAATAAAATTTGTAGGTCTCCCCTCCCCTTTTTTACATGTTTTTATTAACTTTTTTTTTTTACTGAGCTCAGAGTATTACTCAACCATAAAGCCAGCATTAAATCGCTCTGATTAGATACTTACCTTTAAATAATATTGGCTGTCTGCATGAGCTATTTGACTTACGGGACTTCGTTACAGATTCTTCTTCTTGTACAGACAGCCTGCTGATGCTGGTCGTGCAAAATATTGGACCAAAAGACCTTTTGACATGCACATCAATCTACAGAGTTTCGAACATGGCAGGATCCAACTTCCCCAGCTCATACAAGTGATTTGCACAATTTATGCTACATTTACCACAGCCAAAAATCGGCACTTCATCAGTGTGTACGAAAAAGGAAGGGAACGAGAGATGCATTTATGAAACAGTGGAAAATGCCGCCCCGAGATAGTTTGTGATGTTTCCCTCTCCAGAAAAGAAAGAAGCAGTTCTGTTGTTCGGTGCTGCTTAGCATTGAGCATGTCGTTTAATCTGAATGCAGAAATCTGCACAAATCTTGATTTGAGTCAGTTTATCTGAATGAAATGTTCATAAATTGCTTCTTTGTTGGTGCAATATGAAAAATAGTCTTCTACAACAGCTAATTAGCAACTTTTACATATTTATAGTATTTATTTCTGTGTATTGTTTGTCTACTCATCTTTAATTCTCTGTTGAGTTACATGTGCGTTATATGTACCAACGTGCTTTGCCTCTCAGACTTCTGTTAAGATTTATGAGACTATTCCTATTCTTACTCCATTTGTTGCTGTTGAGCATACGCAATAAAATATGCTATACTCCTGCTATAGCCATAGCTGCCATTATGGTTGCATTTCCCGGCTTGCAGAAAATGACCTTTGCAATGGCAGAGCTCCTTTCTTAAAGACAAAATGAAAAAAACAAATTCCTGATTTTTCAGTAGTGTTCCCCTGGATTTGGTACAACATCGTTCTGATCTGCTTTTCTTCTTTTTGCTGAGTAGGGTGTGGAGTTTGATTCATTGATGATGTCTTCATTTGGCTGGAGAAAGTTTCTATGCAGTTGAATTCCCAGGGTTGTTCATCAAAGTATGCTAAGATGGATGAACCTTTCTAAGAGCAAAAAAGGTGTGCTTTTTTTTTGGTTATTGTTACTAAATATTATTAAGTATTTGCTAAAGAAATAGAATTTGGTGAAGTACTAACAGCCTACGTGATGCTGCACCACATACAGAAGTCACACTCATGTGTCTACCGATTTGAGGATTTTTTTTGTTCTTGTTTAAACGTTTTTCTGATTTGTTGCAATATTGAAGACTCTTTAAAAATAGAGGTAAATTAGAACTACTTAAGAGGAAATTTGCATGTTTTTCACATTTAAGGAATTTAAGAACAAGCTCACTTCCCTTGTTTGTTCCCTCCCATCACTCACTCCACACGTATGGGAGCGCGTGCGCGCGCGCACACACAGAGTCTCCTTCATCGTTTCGGGAAGTCAGGAATAGTTAAAAAGGCAACTTGACCACGGGATCCTTTACCATTTTTAAGAGTAGCTTTTTTTTGTCCTGTAAAATAGGAACTTTCAGAAAGGGACTAAGTTTTGACGCAGTCACAACAGCTATGCGCAGTCTGGAAGCAATGACTGCTGGAAGCAATGTCAAATCCAGCTCCAGATAATGCTGTCTTCAGCCCATTTCTTTTCCTTTTGCTTTTTTTCTTCCTTACTTTTTTGTCTATAGACTGATAAAAACATGTACATGCCATGTCTCTTTTCTGAGGTCTTTATTGTGCTCGAAGCCCTAAAGGTTTCCCCCTGAACAAAGCATAGTGTTGTTGCAGTGGAACGTCAGACGAAAGAGGACATTATTCATACACAAACACCACTGTCCAGTTTGCAATTCAGGAGTGGAAAAAGGAAACGTTATTG